TCTGTTTGCTGCAGTACGAGCAGCATAAGAAATACATGTACATAAGAAATGCATATAAAACGTTTGTCCCACTGCAACAATATATCATACCATTTACACATTGTGTGTGACATGTTGGATATGATTTATCTATCCATTCCTCATCCCATGCTTAATCACATAATGTTCCTTATTAAACTAGCAGGGTTGACAAACACAAAAACTTGGTGCAAGCCCACAGTCTGTTTCTTTGATCAAGGTGAAAGTTCATTCTGCTGCAATGGAATTGCATTATGCGGTGGTCTGTGTCCACATGTATCGTGTACAACAACCATTAATTCAAACTAACATAGAGCTCCCCCCCCTTCATACAGTTAATAATCATTGTCATGTGACTTTTTAGAAGGAACTCACACTTTTTGTAATGGTAAAATTTTAAGAATATTGAAACAAATTGAGGCAAGTTGAATGCAAAGTATTTTTGAAATGCTTTTCTCATTGCAGCCATTGTTCAGATAAACCAGGGCAGTTCAGTCAGAATTGTGATTGGTTTTGATCTGTGTACTCAGGTTTCGTTTCCTGGCAGAGGCAGTGATCTTTCTTTCTGTTGTCAGCCCAGCTTTCTACCCATTGTATATTTCCTTGAGGATAAAGCAGCTGGAACTAACCAGCCACCTACATCTACTTTGGAAGTTAATCAGGGATTCTGTTTCCTCACTGTCACACCCCTTCAGAACATAGTGCTTAAGCAGGGGCACAAATTTATTTTTACTTGAATCTTTTTTTCAGAATTGAGATAATCTGTGTGAACAGTTAAACGTGAAGAGTGTTAAGCAATAAGCCTACTTATATTTTTTTTCAAAATCAGGTAGGTAAGCTAACAAGAAGTTCTGGGAAGAATTAATCGCCTACTTTCCTTCATAAGACACAGAACGCGTTGAAAAGGACGAGTCAAAAAATGTGTGTATGTGTGTGTGTTTTCGTTGCCATGGCAAAGTTTTAACCGAACCGATACATAGTCTGATGGGAGGGATTTATGAAGTATTGACCTAATACTTCCAGCCGCACTATGGCCTTGGGGTCGACTCAGCCTCTAACAGAAATGAGTACCAGGAATTAATTAAATAATTTTCCTGGGGAGTAAAGTGCGGCCGGCGCGTAAGGCTGACAACCTTACCGCCATCTTTGAGCCGATTGTTTAGATAATGTGGGACCCTCAACGTCTCACAACCCTATGGGCCTTCACGGCCTGTTACAGGGATAGCTTTACTTTTTTTGGGGGGGGGCTGTTGAGATGGGCTCAGGTGCTTCGATATACTGTACATACCAAGTTTCATAAAGATTTATTCAGTCATTCAAAAGTTGATGGGGCGGGGTGGGGGGATACACAGCATGGAGAGCTCATAAGGCTGCTTTTATTTTATCAAAATAATGAAATAATCTTAAAACTAATATAACGATTTTTAATGGAATATAACTGATCCACTATAAAATAATTCTTCTGGTTAAATTACATGACAAGTTTGGCATTTTTGTGTGGGAATTCTAAGTCGGCCTAGCAAGATAAACTCGCCGATCCAGAGCTCTCCGTGGTAATACAGGTCATCCATTTTGTTGTGAATGAATAACCATGAAATAGACGAGAATAAAATTTGCGTTATAGTTCAGAAAAGGTTCGTTTTGGGAACACGTCTTAGTCAGCTTTTCTACTCCAACTGCTTCCCTCAGCATTTGTATTATTCTTAAAATACGTCTTGAAACGATTCGAGAAAGCGACAACAATACTAATGTATTTTATAAGGAAACCAAACCTTCTAATCGTGCCTTCAGATTTTCGTCTTATCCGTACTTCTGTGTAACTCGATAGGCCTAACTGATATACCCGTAACGCAATAATTATTTCCTTCTTTTGCCAATAACCAGGGAGTTCGTTATAAGAAGATCCAATACTGTCTACTGTTATATGTTACTTCGGCAAGTTTCATAGACCAGTAACATTGTTGAATGTTACGGAACTGTTGCGTGGATACGGGCGAAGAAACTTTAAGTGAATTTGTTCAGGACGTCAGTACGGTCAATACTCCAAGTACGTATATTGTGCTGTGCAATTGGGTGTAACAACGGGTATAGTACGCCTACTCTATTTCAATTCATTGCTATTAGATTAATAATTCCAACCACCTTTGGGCCATAATTACTACCAGTTATTGCCTAAATATCTAGACGAATCCTCGCAGTGTTTTTTGTTATAGTAAGTAAAGTAAAAAGTAAAGGTATCCCTATAATAGGCCGTGGAGGCCCATAGGGTTGTGAGATGTTGAGGTTCCCACATTTTCTAGACAATCGGCTCATAGATGGCGGCAAGGTTGTCAGCCTTATGCGCAGGCCGCCCTTTACCACCTAGAATATTCCAAGAATATTCCTGTTACTCATTTCTGTTATAGGCTGAGTCGACCCCAGGGCCATAGTGCGGTTGGAAGGATTAGGTCAATTGAAAAAATCCAATGACCTCATCGGGAATGAACCCGCGACCTTCCAAGCCTCTTAAAAGTTCTTCACCGTGAGGAACATTGGTACCTCGCGTCATCTCACACTGCGCGCGTTCGGACTCGTGGCGTAGTCGGTAGACCCAAAAATCACAAGCAAAATTCAATCAGATCCGAACAGACTGTGGAAATGTTCCTGTTGTTACGTAGGCAATTCTTGCAGCTATGTAAAATGTTTGCATTCACGCGATCAAGTTCCTTCCGGAAAGAGAACAAAGTTGAAACCTGAAACTTTAAATTCCGGTTTCCTGAGAAGTAGTGGGTCTGGAACGGGGTCCACTCAGCCTCGTGAGGATAACTGAGGAGGTACTTCAATTGAAAAGTAGCGGCTCCGGCCTAAAAAACCGAAATTAACGGTCGTGGGGATTTGTTGCGCCGACCACGCGATACCCTCTATCCGCTAAAGTTGGCACTAACTTCGCCGACCAGCGGCGGTCGCTCGGTCGGTATAGCTCTCTTGCGGACTAACGCCACGGAGTTTTTTTCTCTGCAAGGTATCTAGGGGGTTTTCGAGGAGAATATTCAAGCCTAGCACCGTTTTCATCCAAATGTCGAAATCTGTTCCCTAATATTCACATGGTTATCGTACACGAACACGTGTTTCAATGTACTCCTATAACGCTCACGTGGCATTTCGACATAAGTGTTGCGACTCGCTGAATGTTTGACACAGTATGAGGAGCTTAGCATTACAGCTGGCGGACACATAAGCCATAAGCAGTCTTCACTGTATCTGTTCGAATATTTATTGACGTGATATTGAAGAGAAACTCCTACGTGTGTAAGCTGGTCCCTCGCAGTGCGAGATGACGAGTATAGCCACTGCACCTAACCTAACCCGGCCGGTCTAAGGATTTTCTGGAGGCTGACGACCTCCCTGTATGTCTCAATTCGACTGAAAATTAGCTTCATTTTACTTTTAGACCAGTTAAATTTGAACATTTTCATCCGGGCTAATAATCAGACTGTGACATATGGGCCTTTTCTAGGAAACGAGTTGACAAGTGCGTTGCCACGAAGAGACTGATTCTTGGGAAACAACTGGTTACGAAGCACGTTTCCATGGATACTAAAAGTAAAATTTGTAAACGCGTAAAGCCGGACCGTTGCTGCGAAATTGACACGCGTTTCGTAACAAACACAGAATAACAGAGAAGTAAATGAAATGTTCGAGGCGGTGGTCTCTTTTCGTTTCGCCCCAGGGCATAAATTCCTGAATTAATTAATTCGTAAGAGAATTCAGAGTTCAGGAGTTGAGTATCAAACCAGCTAAGATTCGTTGCCAGGAAACACCTAGTGAAAACTTCGCAGAGGAATAGCCATTGTTGAGACCCGTTACCCAGCAACGACTATTGAAAACAGATATAGAAAACTTTACTTTGTGTGCTGTAGTTACAATATGTGAGTGTTCAATAAATCTATTCACCAATCTAAACCCCGTCTATAGACACTAATACACGTGACAATATATTGAGAGCTGGGATGGCTCAGTCGGTATAGTGGGCAGGCTACAGGCTGTACGACCGAGGAATCTGGGTCCGGTTCTCGGCAGGAGCAAGGAACTTTTCCTCCACAGCGACCAGACCGGCTCTGGGGCCCAACAGCATTCTCCTCATTGGGTACCTGGGGGCTGTTCATCTGGAGGTAAAGCTGACCACTCACCTCCTATTACCGAGGTTAAGAATGGTAAAGATACAATTTCAGTCGCTTGTATATCTTCATGTTTCTGTGCTTGGTTAATTAAGCAAACAAACAAAAACAAACTCCATGGCCTGTAGTCCGCAAGCGAACTATACCGACCGAGCGACCGCCACTTGTCAGTGTAGTTCGTGCCAACTTTTGCGAATAGAGGGTTTCGCTGGTCAGAGCAACGAATCCCCACGGCCGTTAATCTCAGTTTTCTAGATCGAAGCTGCTACTTCTTTGAAATAGCTCCTCAGTTATCCTCACGAGGCTGAGTGAACCCCGTTCGAGACCCACTACTTCTCAGAAAATCTGGTAGCGCCGGGAATCGAACCAGGGACCTCTGGATCTGTAGCCAGTAACTCTGACCACTAGACCACAAAGACGGTCTGGTTAATTAAGCACAGGGACAAATTTATTTTTACATAATAACTGCCTGCTGAGTAGGAAAGCCAACTTGATTACGCTACACTGTCAGATAATGGATCAAGTTATTTCCATTACGCGATATTAAACACATGAACATTATCTGAGTCTTTATGACAGAAGTCCTAATAGCTCCACTTTTTCAGTTTTCAGCCCCCCCCAGTCTATCTTTAAATCCGAAATAAAACCACTTCAGACCACAATTAATTGTTACACGCCATTTCACTCAGAAAATGAGAAGAAAATCTGGAATCATGGCTCCCTATTCCCACACATTCCCGACAGCAACATCCGTTCTGAGATTGAGCTGTTCTAGCTAGAAAATCCATAACCGCGTGCCCTAATGACGTCACGCCAGCCACAGTACGCAGTCTCCACCACAGGCAACGCTGTCTGCGTGTATGCTGTCATATAAGTGAGCTAAAATGCACATCAGTATACTTTAACGAGGTGCAAAAAAAGGAACTGATTCCTATTGTTGTTTGTGTTCACAGCGACTCGAACGCAGGACTCAATGATGGCACACAAAGGGGAGCATTCCGGACAATGTTCATTCTTGACAGCTGCCATTGTGATTTGTGGGGTAAGTGATATTAATAAAGCAAATGTCTGAATGACACGTTCTCAGTTTATAAATTTAAGGCCTCATTATATGTGGATGCGTAAAGCCGTGTCGCTAGATTCTTTTAATCCAGGCAGTGTGGTTACAATATGCGTTATTTATGCATTTACCTAGTACAAGGCACATGGATTTACTTGACCAGCTGGCTGTTGTTCAGCTGATCAATAAAAGCATCTGTTGTTACGTAACCCTAAGATTCATCATTATATTCATAAGAAGCCACCACTGGATCACATGCTGAGCCAGCTGAATCCAGTCCATATGTTCACAACCTATTTCTATAAGATTCGTTTTAATATTGTAAAGGATGGACACAGCATTGCTAGGTAACTGACCGCGAAACACCTCGAGACCGAATACACGAATGAAACAATGGGAGTGCGGCGGTTTCTATGGAGTCCGTGCCGCGACCGGTGATATGCAGTCGGTAAACACGTTCAAACAATATAGGCTGTTTTCTGCGTGGTCAGTGCGGAGGCTATATAACGACAGTTACAGACAGCTGAACTCTGTGGAGCAGAGCAGAGTTCAAAGAACCCCGTGTGGAGGCGGGGTCGAATACCTCCACCGTGACCCTGCGAGTCGTAGGAGGCGACGAAAAGGGAAGTCTCAATTCTGAGGCAGTAAAATATGGTCGCGAGTCCCAAGGGACTCGGACCCGAGTAAGAGTGCGCTGGCAAGGACCAGCAGCGTATACAAAAGACACGCCCGTCCTCTCGTCAGAGAAGGCGCCCCACAGAAACAAGACCGTAACTGTCAAACGATAATAATTAATATCTGGTCATGAGCCCCAAATGGGACTCGACACCAAGACTTACTGACTGACTGACTGACCGACCGTCAGTCGCAACGTGACTTTGACTTTGACTAGAAGAACTAAGATGGGACGCTCATGGCAGATAAAACAGGGGCATACCAACGATATCATAAATTAACGTTGGCAGTGATATTACGGACGCAATACATAAATTTTACACAATTATTGTTTCTGGATATTATCCATCGTGTCTTGTATTTCGTATTTAAAACACACAACGTTTCGGAGGCTGGATTCTGTCTCCGTCTTCAGGTGAAACCTATTCAGTTGGCCCCAGTCGATGGAGCTAGTCCCTACCTTGTTTAAATAAAAACAGGATGATGGATAATGTTCAGAAACACAATATTTGTATTAATATACCATCATCACAAACTTTTAGATCTTGTAAAATGTGCAATTTACAGAGCGGTTCCTTTGTTGTTAGTAATATCTGAATATCCTCAGAAAAATGGCAAAGCTATCCCTGTAACAGACCATGGGGGCCCACAGGGCTGTGAGACGTTGAGGGTCCCACATTATCTAGAAAACTGGCTTACAGATGGCAGTGAGGTTGCCAGCTTTACGTGCCCGCCCCCAGGAAGAATCCTGGTACTTATTTCTGTTAGAGGCTGAGTCGACCCAAGGGCCACAGTGCGGCTGGAAGGATTAGGTAAATTGGAAAAAAAAAAACCCACCTCACCGGGACTCGAACCCGCGACCTTCCGGCTTGTAGCATAGTGCCTCAACCAATTACGTTACCGCGTGCCCCGCACAAAGATTGGAGTTCTCTGAAAACATGGGACAAAAGACAATATTTTATCTCGCCAAAGATAATCTGATTGTTACATCCACACAATTATATGAAACCACATCCCCTACTGTGTACCTTTCTTTCAATATTATCTGGTCGAAGAGCACAAGAACATATGCCACATGTCTGTCGGAAAAGTCTTACAGAAACAGATGTGTCTGGAGACCAAATCATAAATGAAGAACAGTATTTGCATTTATCTTAGCGAAAGAGATTTTTACATTTTCGCTTAGTGGAGGGTGGAATCAAACTGGGTCCACTCGACACGGCGGCCACTGATTGACCTATAGTAGCCTGCCCCGGGTGTTTATGAAGATGGAGAATTTGGTGGAATGAAGATTGGCAGGGTAGACAGAAGTACTCGGAGAAAACCCGCCCTAGCGCCATTTTCTCCACCACAAATCCTACTTGACCAGACCCGGGATCGAGCCCGGGCCGCCCCGGTGGGAAGCCAGCGACTAACTGCTTGAGCTATGGCGCGCCCTAAAGAGATTGTAAGTATGTAATCTAGACTATAACGGTTCGAAATTATATTCAGCGGCGAGCACGGTGTTGAACTTTAGAAATGAGGTTGGTACTTCTGACGACAGGACAAATCTCAGGCCTGCAAAGATGACGCGTCCTCCGTACTGTGCACATCGAGTTGTGTGTCTGACACTGCTATGCTGGTAAATGAATCAGGGGAAGGACATGCACGTGCATCCCTTTAAGAGGATCAGAAAAACTCTTCCGCACACTTACAAGATTAGGAGGTGGTCATTTGACGCATATTTTCCTTATTTTAAGGAAATAGAAACGAAGCTTATGAGATCACCTGGCTGTCTCTGTATCACCAACAACTTTTTCGTGTGTGTATTCGCTATCCGCGAGAACGTAATTACGGAGACGTTACCTAGCAACGGCCGTCCCTTTTGGCCCGACTATTCCGGCTTTCAGGCGTAATGTCACATTGCATTCAAAAGTTATTGGCCGTGATGTTTTCTATGTGGTCCGTGTCGTATCAAAAACTCAATTTGTAGTGATAAGAAAGTAGCTGACTATTTCTTCCCAGAACTTCTTCTAATCTATTAACGTTCTTAACAGTATATTCAAATACTGTCTAACAGAAATTTGCAGATATATTTACCAACTGAATAATAAAACAGCGTATTGTAATGTAACGTATGTTTGTATTCTATAAAAGCAAAATTACCTCTTCGTTTTATTTTGTTACTTTTGATTATCCTTTCATAGATGCTGGCGACATTTCACAGTGAAACAAAGGCCGCAGCAATACCAGCCCCGGGACTTGAATTCAGGCACCATAACAATGAAGAGATCCCGCAGATTCTGGCTTCTGTTCATGCCAGATGTCCGAACATTACCAGGATCTACACTCTGAGCGAGCGCTCTGTGCGAGGGCTTCCTCTCTACGTCATTGAATTCTCAACCACGCCCGGCTACCATCAACTCTGTGAGTTTTAGCTTCAGTCATTTATATTTTCTATAGTCGGTTTTCAGCACGAGACCCACGCGATAAATGATTCCTGAGGAAAATATTACATATGAAACTTTTGATGAATGTGAATATAAGGGAGTCCTTATGGCATGAACAGTCCCGTGAAGTCATACCTGGAACCTAAATATAAGGTTCCAAGCATTCTGGACATCAGAGTCAGGTTGAAAGTGACCAGCTGGAAGTTCCGGCCGATTCAATCAGAAGCGTAAGTCATGGCAGTTGTGGACTAGAGAAAAATCACAACTCCCTTGTCGGAAATCGAATTCCGGTCTTCCGGCCTGTGGCAACTCACTTTATTGACAGAGCTATTACGGTTGTGTTTCCAGTTTGTCGTCACACTACATTTCACATGCCACTTATAATGGCGCTTCAGATGTGGACATTATTATTTATTTTCTTGGGTTAGGGTGAGTCCACTTGGTACGTCGGCCACTGTCTGGCTTACTGTACCAGCCCCGGATGATAGACGATGGTGATTGTGAAGAATTCAATGGAATGGGAATTGTAAGGCCCCAGCGCCTTTTTATTCACCATAAATCCCACACGATCGATCCAGTCTAATGGCAAATTAGTTAAAATGCAATTAACTTGGTAAAAGTAAAGGTAAATATATCCCTGTAACACGCCGTGGAGACACACAATATTGTGAGATGAGGTTCCCACATTTTCTAGACAATCGGCTCTCAGATGACGGTAGGACTGTCAGCGTTACGCGCCGACCGCCCTTTACCTCCAGGAAGATTCCTGGTACTCATTTCTGTTAGAGGCTGAGTCGACCCCAGGACCATAGTGTGGCTGGAAAGATTAGGTAATTTGAAAAAAATCCACCTCATCGAGATTCGATCCCGCGACCTTCCGGCTTGTAGCATAGTGCCTCAACCAACATGGTAGCAAACTAAACTTGTCAAAGCAAGCCAAACAGTGTGAAGGAGGACAGACAAACAGACGCTCGATGACGTATATTTACGTCTGTATTTGAATAATTCCTCACTTTATAAAATTCAGCCTGTCAAGTGTCAGTTAATGGCAGTTTTGTGTGGGCTTTGTCTGTTATAAGATTTTACAGCCAGCAACTTGATACTTCATATACAGATGGTTAGGGGGGTGGAGGCATAAAAGCCACCATGTCCCCACTGGAAAACAATTAAAGTCTGTGTATAAAGACAAAATTGTCTCTGTGTTTAATTAAGCACCACAAAAGTTTGTGCAGAATTAATTAGAGTAAAGAATGGACAATTGAATAGTTCACATTATGGCCAAATTTACACATCAGTTCTTATTCTTCACTTGGTATTATACAGCAATTTATTCAAGAAGGATACATATACCAATAAAATTTTCGAAAACGAAAAAGTGGAGAGAATTTATGTGCAGTATATGATTGAGTATGAATCAGAATTGACTATATAGGAACATAATGAATAATTAATCTGTAACGGAATTAGAAGTCACTGGAAATGTTTATTTCAGTTCACATGCAGATAGGAGAATGAAGTTAGTAAGGCGGAGTCTTTATGTGAGATTATGGGGAAGAGAAATATGAAAGTAGAAGGGGATTGGAGAGAGGACTAAAGTACAGTAGTAGTTCTGAAATAGAAAAGTAGCAGGCATATGCGCAAAGTATCTGCGCGCCGTAAGAACATGGTGTTGTATGAATGAAATCAAGAAGAGTTAGAGACGCCAAGACACATGGCCGCATAAAGAAATATAAAAAAGCCTTCGGATAGAACCCCTTACCAGCTGAGGCTAAGTAAGGGATGTATACGTTAATGGAAGTATAATATTAAAATGGTTGTGATGATGTTCACTAGACTGAAATATCTCTGAATGTGGTGAAACGACGAGGTTGTTTATAAGTTATTATAGATAACGTGTTCCAGATAAATTAGTGAATTTTTTATTCATCTGAATAAGGATAAATTGCTAGAAGAGGACCTTGTACCACAGCCGAAGGGAACTGAAAATTGATTGATTGGAGGTCAAGACATGAATGATTAAATTTTAATAAAATAAGATTTCCTGAGCTTGCAAACAAATTCCCATCAGGACACCGCAAATTACAATAACAAATATTTATACGGTCGCCACATCACAACTTTAGGAAATATAAAAAGAAAATATTTTATAAACAAATGTAAAGTGTCTATGCCGGTCACGGTGGCCGAGTGGTCTAAGGCATGCACTGTCTTCGCTCGCTCGGAAGCCGGGATCTTGGGTTCGAATCCCACTCAGGGCATGGATGTTTGTGTGCGTTTTTCTGTGTTTGTCTACAGGTAGAGGCCTTGCGACGAGCTGATCACACGCCCAAGGAGTCCTACCGAATGTGTAAGATCTAGAAAAACCGAAGTGAACGGAGTTCATGGAGGTAGGCCTAGGCCCACTGGGGCTGTAGTGCCAAGGAAAAAAAAAAAGTGTCTATAATCTCCTACCTAATTACGGAAGTTCAGTTGTCATCATAAACGGAACGGCAACATTTTCTCAAACTAATGTTAACCAACTGTTGCAAACTTTTCGAAAATGTCATGGCTTTACACCGATCAGTGATCCGCTCCGATCTCATGGCGCTAGCCGTGTTACGTACTGGCTTAAAACTTAGAAAATTTGGTGACTATTCAACGAACTGTTATTCACTCAAACTGATATGAAAATGGGCAATAAATTAAAATTGCTGTGAAAGACATACAAGCATACAAACACATCACAACAGCAACTCTCGTTACGGCGTTAGAAACGGAGGGGTAGAAATTACAAAGGAGATTCCTTACGACAAAAAACGCTTACTAAAAGATGTACAATATAAATTGGCCTCTCATTGCGTCGCGGCTTTGTTTTCAGGGTGCGTACAAGATATGTCATTATTCTATTCCTATGGCAACAGGCTGATCAAATACAGATCCATACGCTGGCGCGGGTTTCATTAATAACTTCCGCGGATCACCTAAATCTGACGTCACAGTGTGGAAGCAGATGGGATCGCTCTTAGGTAGACGATTGCATATTAAAAAATTGATATTAAAAAATCGATACAAAAAAAAATTCACTCACTTTGTCTTTGTCGTTGTTTCCACAAAATACTGAAGCTTCAAGAAACTCGCCATTGTGTGTCTTCGGACCCAGCCGAAGCGCTCCTATTTTTGGAACTCGAATGTTCGTATTCTCAGGACACAGATCTGTGACGGATGAACTGCTAAATACTGCATATGACTAAAACCCGTCCGACCGTTCAGGCGTTCGCAACACGCACAGACACACGGTATGTCAAATAATTTATCTTAATCAGGGGAGAACAAAACGTGTAAATCCACAAAATTATGGCGATTTTCACGATCACACTAATTTCATATATAAGCTAAGTAGAAAGGAAAGGAAAGGAAGAAATCGAAATAAATAAACATATAAATAATAATAATAACAATGTCAATAATCTGTGTAAGCTTAAAAGCATTAGTATACGGAAAGTGTGACATTCAATTTGAATGCAACTATGGTGGTGGTGATGGTAGCAGCAACAGTCTGATTCTCTTGTCTACAGGGACTCGGTCAACACGATTCTCGCCGTAGCATTATCAGGATCCTTTGCATGTACTTGTATCTGGCAAGAGCAGGGGCGTACAAAAGACTCTGAAGTGATCGAGTATTTGGGGCAAATGAGTTTGTCCCCCGGCCCATATCAGTAAGGATACGAAAGATTCATTCACGTTGTCTTAACTGAAAATGGTATCTGCATTTGGAGGGAAAGAATATATTGAGTAAATCCACTTAAGAGCCGCGCCATACATCAAGCGGTTAGTCGTTGGCTTCCCACCGCGGCGGCCCGGGTTCGATCCCGGGTCTGGTTAAGTGGGATTTGTGGTGGACAAAGTGGCGCTGGGGCAGGTTTTCTCCGAGTACTTCGGTTTCCCCTGCCAATCTTCATTCCACCAATTGCTCCACAATCACCCTCACCTATCATCTGGGGCTGGAACAATAGGCCAGAAGTGGCCGCAGTAAAAGGGGCTTAGTCCCACCCCACTAGCAATAAAAAAATCCACTTAAAGTGAGTCAGAGAGGCCGATTCTGGGCAGGTTTTCGAATCCAGGATCTCCAAAATACGAGCCAGGTTGCTAAACAAATCAAGTCTTGCGTTGGTGGTGTTGGTGGTAGCAGTAGTAGATGATATTGGTAGTGCAGCGGTGGGGTGGTAAGTAGTAGCAGCCGTAGCGGTCGTAGTAGTGGTGGTAGCAGCAGCAGTCTTCCTTATTTTACTATCTTATACATACACAAAATGTGTTAGCTAGGTGGGCGGGAAGAGTTAACTTCTGTCGTTCTAAACAAGCGAAGAATAAGCGCAGTAGGACTGAAATTCAGCGTCGCCTTTATTCTGGATCAGTACTGAACCGTAGTTAGACAAGAGCGTCATTAGCGCTCACTGTGCTACCCATCACAAGCAGAAAACCTACAGTACTCATAAAGACAACTTTCGTACAGCATAGTTTTATAGATATATAGGCGTCTACTATTGCTATTATTTTATTTTTCTGAAGCAGTTATAATTCAAGCACACATGAGGTTTATATTAAAAAGGGGCACGCGGTAGCGTGGCTGGTTATGCTACAAGCCGGAAGGTCGCGGTTTCGAGTCCCAATGAGGTGGATTTTTTTCAATTGACCTAATCCTTCCAGCCGCATTATGGCCCTCGGGTCGACTCAGATTCTAACAGAAATGAGTACCAAGAATATTCTTGGGGGTGAAGGACGGCCGGCGCGTAAGACTGACAACCTTACCGCCATCTGTGAGCCGATTGTCTAGAAAATGTGGGAACCTCAACATCTCACAACCCTATGGGCCTCCATGGCCTGTTACAGGGATACCATTACTTTACTTTACTTTACTTTACTCATTAATCTGCGAACTGGGAGCGACATTTGTGTTGCTACTAGCGCACTATGGCGAGATCGTAATGATTCTGTGCTAAT